TGTTCTCCAAAAAGTAAGAAATTGCGTGTTACTACCATGGAGACATTTTTCAGGAATCTTTTAGAATCGTGGATCTATAAATTTGCCTTCAAATCTTCCTAAACTTTCCAAGCTGCAATGTCAAAAATCCTAAAGAAAAATTACCTTTACCAATTCTGTAATAGCAAAAAGGCAGAAATGTTTTGAAAAAAAAAAAAAAAAAATCGGAGGGAAAAAGTGCAAAATTAATTTTATAGAGAAAACTGATAAATGTTCTGAACATTCTGAGAAATGCGAAAAACGCTTATCATTAAAAAGACATTTTTAATTCAATACATAGTTATTTTGTTTTTGCTAAAAACTATTTTGTAAATTGTGCTTTATAGCATTACACCTTGCTTATTTTTCATATTCAAAACAACTTTATAATATGACAGTGAAAAATAAAAATGCTTTATTTTAATGTTATTTCTTACAAATAATTCCAATATATTACCATTATTTTAATGAAATTTATTAAGGTTAGAATGTTCCAAAATAATCGTCAAAAAATTCCCAGATCTCGGAATTAAAAATTTTCTATAGAAACCGATCTTAAAATCGCCAAAATGTTGATAAGTTGCCAAATTTAATAAAAGGTCTTTTATTAAATGGTCGCCAAAATCATTCAATAAAAGAATTCACATCCCCAAAAGCGGAAAGTTGTTTGAGAGCTCTTCATTATAAAAAAACTGAAATAACTTCAAAATGCATATGTTTCATTTCTTGCTCAGAAACTTGAGTATCCCACCATTTATACTACAAATAGGAATAAAGAACCTATGAATCCATTAAAAAAATAACCATATTTGTCGGTGAATCTGCAAAACTATTCCTACAAAGTGCTAATTCACACTCAAAATGGCAATCATAAAAACAAACAGAAATTTCAGATGATTAAAATTAAGGACCTTCTGCCAATTTTGGCTGAAATTAAAAAGACTTTTAAGGACCAAAAATCGATTCCAAAAAAATTAAGGACTTTTAAGGACTCTTACGGACTGTACGAACCTCGATATTCATAAGAAATAGTATTTTGCATATAAACTTTATATTTTCATAAATATTAAAACAATCATAAAAATTGGCAGATATGGAATAGTCATAAGAAATACTGACAAGTATGCCCCTAACAACAATAAAGTCACTATTGAATGCTCCTGAAAAATATTTATACAACTTAGCATTTGATTACTTTGAGTTATAGGAATAAACTGTACAGAAGCATAATTTTATATGATGTAAGACTACCAAAAAGTAACTGCAATTCCAATATTCACCATAGTCAACTGCAGGAATTACAAAAGTCTTTCTGAACTTGAAATACTTCCCCCCAGTCATTCTTAGCAGGACTTTTTAATTTATTAGCCCAAGGGGCATTAGTCCAGAAGGGCTATTAATTTCGTTTTGGCATTTTACTTTGAAAACTTTAAATGTTGGTTCACTTTTTAAAATGTTACCACCAAATATTACAGCCCTGTATTATATTCAAAGAAAATAAAGGTATAATTTTTAAATAATGAAGAATCTGCATAAATGTATGTATGTGTCTTGCATTGTGATAAAACAACAGTACCTAGAGCCATCAAATTTTGAATAACGAATATGGGCATCTGAAAGAACAAATTTGGAATGTGTTTCATATTTTGTAAAACTAATGAATTTTTTATTAACAAACTCTGATTTCAAAGCGTGCAATGGCAACACTGTATGGAAAAAAACATTTTTATCTCCAGCGCGTGAGACTGTGAATCAGAAATTCTAAAGATATGCACAATTTAAAATTATTTTGCGATATTGCTGTTGAACTAAATTTTATGGTTTATGTGTGACGAACATGATATTTATTTAAATAAAGATACCCACAACACGTTAAAAAATAATGTAAAATCTGAAAGCTTTCAGATTTTTTTATTTATTTAAAATTCCTAGTGAGATTTTCCAGCTGCACATTTTTATTTTAAGAAGGGGCTGTTGCTAACTATACATATTCTTCAATGCATTGGGTTCCAATGGTTTAGTTTCCTCTTCTGATTTCAAAAGATATAGAGACCATTCCGAACGAACCATCTCTGATCTTTTATTTATTTTTTTTAATTTGGGGAGGCAGAGGACGAAGAAAGATAAAACAGGGTTCGTACACATTTCTGCACAAGGAAATTAAGTACTTTTAAAGACCATTAAAGAAAAAAATTAAGGACCTATGAACAAATGCGAACTGAATAAATTCAATTAAAATTATTATCTATGCCTGAACTTCACATTTGTAATACCATCCGAAAAATAAAATAGATCCGTAAGTAGGATGCATTATTACTAAACATGAATTAAACAACATAATTATTAATAAAGTTTGAGAATAAAATAAACTTTATGAAATTTATCAATTAGCATTAAATATTTTACTCATAATAGTTGGAAATATTTGAAAGAAGATAAGTGACATTTTATTTACGTTTTACTAACAGTTAGCTTTATGTTGATTTTTTTTTTTAAATGTCTCATTTTGTCACATTTACTAGAGGTTTAGTAAATAGCAGGCAGATTTTATGTCAAGCAGCATAGGTTGAAATTAGAAGTAAGATCATAATCAGCACAATTCATAACAAAAGACTGCATGTTGTCACCACTGCTGCTTGTCTAGAGGAAGACCTGCTGGTAAGAACAAACCTGAAAGGCCTGATGTAGGCACAGTTAGCAAGTGTTGACAGTTAGTCAGGCTCTGTTTAATGCATTTAGTGTCATAGTTTCGTGTAGAGTTCCAGGGATTATAACCCAGTTAATGTTTCCAATAAGCCATTAAAGCACCAGAGGTGATAAGTTATTTTGTATTATTTTAAGTCTCACTAGATGCAAAGAATAAGTTTTACTCGAATTTTTACATTTTTGTATTTTATCTTGTGGCCACAGTAAGGATTAATGAAATTCAATAACTTGCTTTAATATGCAGAGATAATTTTTAAGGGTAAGCTGCTAGTAATAAATAATTAAATTAGGTAGTTTGATAACCTTAGTCATTATGGATTTACATGGCCACTATTAAATTTTATTTATTTTTTAACAATATTTGTTAAAAAAGCCCTATTAAAATCACAATCTAATAAAATTTTACAGTTAAAAATACATGTAATTTATGACATTGATTCTTAAACGATATTAAGATAATTAAACATTAAAAGCTACAAAACATTTAGGTTTTGTAACAAGAACACTCAACAAAATATTTATACGTCTTTTTGATTTGAAGCCTTCCAAGACATTTTGGCTAATTTATATTGATTTCCATCTCTTTAAGCATCTTTTCTAACAATTGGAAATTTGTCTCAATACGCAAACAAATGTTGTCACTAGTTTCTGTGTGCTTTATCTCTTAACTTGTCAACCTCTCCATAATGCACCTCTGAGGGTTTACTTGATCTGGTAAAAGTTAAATAGTCCAAAATCCCTGACAGACATGAAGTAAATTAATGTCTGAAAATAACTACAATGTCAGACAAAGGTTTAAATAAGCCTCTTATTTAAAAAGAACATAGAACCTAAAGGCATGTTCTTATGCTAACAAAATCAATTGCAGCTCGTGGTGATGTAATTAAACAAGAACAGTCAAATTCAAACAAAAAATGTGGACTAGTAATCATTCAATATGTATAGAAAGAGATCACCATAATGCATGTGGACTTAGTGGTCAAAGACTAATTTAATTTAAATTTAAGCTGGCTCAGTAATTCTATGATATGAGGAAACAGAAATGGAAAATTATAGTAAAGACTGAAATCATAAACAACTGGGTAATTTACATAATAATAACTGTACAATATATTTAAAGAATAATTTTGTTTATATATTCAGTTTCTTTCTTTAACATGTTTCCTTTCCATTTTAGAATTTTCGGATTTAATTAAGAATTTTTGTTATTCTTTAAAAAAAAAAAAAAAAAAGCATTTAAAATGAATAAAAAGAGCTGTTTAATTTTATTTCTTTAATAATATGAACATTCAGAAAAATATGAAATATATATGGTAAGAGCCGGTTATAGAGCTGGTGTCGCAGAATTTTTAGAATTTAGTGACACACCAAGCAACAAAATCTAGAAATGGCAAAACTTTTAAAATTTAGAGCAGGCATTGGGCATTGGAAGCAAAATTTAGAAAGGCATTACACAGCAGAATTAAGGATTCACAGAGATTGCATCAAGTGGGAAAATGCTTAGCTCTATGCATGATGTATTAAAACATATTAGATGAATCTTTTATAAATTGTAAGTTTTCAATCAATTTATTTATAAAAGTTTCCTTTTATTTTTTATCCCACACCTGTCCATGTGATTAGATTTGAAGCATTTTTGATATTTTCCATGCTTGTGTCTAGTGAAAAGTAGAGAAAATAAAGGGAAGATAAAAATGTTTAAAATATTCTAGTATGAGAAGTAAAAACATTCAAGTATTATGTTTTCAGTGTTCTTCCTGAAGTTCTCCAACTAAAAATTCATTGCAAATTTTCTGTAAAATACATCCATTACACGTTAATACCATGGAGACATTTTTCATTTTTTTACATATTGTTTAATCTTCTAGAATCGAGGGTCTATAAATCTAAAGCCTTCAAATTCTCCTAAACTTTCCAAGCTGCAATGCCTAAAAATAAAATAGATCCTAAAGAAAAATTATCCCTACCAATCGTGTAAGAGCACAAAACCAGAAATATTTATTTAAAAAAAAGGGGGAAAAATGTTTTAAATTAATTTTATAGAGAAAACTGATGCATAGTCTGAGAATTCTAAATATTCTGAGACAATTACGTGGGAAAAACTCTTAATATTAAAAAATTAAGGAGACATTTTTAATTAATTGCATAGCTAATTTTGCTTTTGCTAAGATCTGTTTGGTAAATTGTACCTAATAATATAATTTTGGATAGAATGAATGAAAATCTAAAATGCTTGCAGTGGTTGGAGAAGATATTTAAAAACTGATTTTACTTACCCTTCTGGTTTCTCTTCTGATTTAGGTAAAATAGATATTAAATTGGATGGAATTGGAGCAGTAGCTTTCAAAGCCTGTAATACACGACCCAGAAACTGCTGTGTTGCACTTTCGTACAAATCAAAAGCTATTTGAAAAGCCATTAATGACAGCTCCTATTAAAAAAAGAAATTATTAAAATACTAAGAACTGGTAGTACACATCACATTTCGGAACCTAAATTTAATTGTTATTATAAGTGGTTATATACAGCTAAAGATATCTGCAATGGATAAATTTAATTACCCTGGAGTTTTTCTGAATTCATGAACAAAATTTACTTAAACCAGCTAAAACTCATAAAGCATGGCTTATATTTAAATTTTCAAAATACTTAAAAAAAAACTATTTTAATTCTTTAAAATCTTACAATTAAAATCATAAATTAAAATTACTAGAATTCAATTACTCTAGGAAGTCATACACTGTTTTTACACAATTACTGATGGCTTTTAATCACGTTACTATACAATACAATAGAATTAAAAATAGCAGAAAACATGTTTTAACATAATGCAAAAATGTTTAAAACCTAACAACCTAACAAAATTATCCTTACACAGAGTATATAACTGCATATTTCATTTTGAATATATTTTCTTGTATGACATACCACTTTCAAGAAAAAAAGCATCGATAGACAATAAATAAGAAGTGCAACTTTTTTTGGAGGGGGGGGGCTTTTTTTTTTTGTTTGTTTTGTTTTGTTGTTGTTCTTAACTCTTACAACATAGTACACCTATTTGCACTATGACTTATGTATCTGTCATTCAGTGCAGTGCTGTTTATCGTTGTATGTGGTTGTTTTACAGTCTATTACTGTTCATGCATGTGATGCAGCTAATTTCACAAACATTGTTGTGGTGCTTTAATGTTGAAATTTGTAAAAATACAATAAGAATGGCGAAGGAAATAAAGTTGTAATGATGGAAAAAAAAGCTTGCGACAGTCAAGGGACTGGACAAGGCAGAAACAATGGAGAATATAGCTGACAACATTGGCATTGGATGGATAAGAGACTGGGAAAAAGAAACAAAATAAAAGCAGAAAAATTGTATGCATCAAGAGTTATGGAGTGCACATTAAAAGAAAGAAAAACCATGATAATGAAAAGTGAGCGAAGCTTGGTATGCTTGGTTTACACAATGCAGGGACAAATGTGTGCCTATTTTTGGGCCTATTTCACAGCAAAAGGTGTATTTTCATAATTTTCACTGAAAAAAAACTCAGATTTTGCTGCAAGTGTCAGTTCATTCAACAGATGGAAGAAACTGTAAGGTATCTGTCAATTAAGCATGTGAGATAAGAAGCTATGATCAAATTTTGAAGACATGAAGACATTCAAAAAAAAGTTTCAGGAATTAATTGAAAATGAAAGCCTAATGGATGATGAGATATTTAATTGTGATGAGCCTGGCCTTAATTACAAAATGTTAGCTAGTAAACGTCTTGCAGCCAGAAAAGAAATGGAAACCTCTGGCTGCAGGAATGAATGAAAATTTCCACATGCAGTACTGCTACAGCAAACCTCAAAACAGACCTTGTACTAATTGTAAAGTCCCCAAATCCCAGAGCTTTTAAAACAGTTTCAAAAAATGCTCTTCCAGTAAAATACTATAGCCAAAAAGTGAATTGATGAGCAGTGAAATTTTCATAGGGTTGCCACTCAAACAGGACAATGAAATTACCTGACTTTTCCAGATGTGTTTCGGGAAAATTCCAGGCTACCCGCGTAGTGCGCGTTGGTTGTACTGAGGATAAATTAATTATCATACCACTTGAAAACTCAAAAATTTGCCAATTAATAAAACTTATATATACATATAAATAACCCCCAAACAATTTGTTTTTATAACCATAATAGAAGTAGTTTCCTCCACTGAGAATTGAGATTAGAATCTGCCCAATCAGGATTAAAAAATGTCTTTTCTGCCGATATTTTGCAGCTAAAGGAAGTAAAAAATCTATTTAATGATATCTTAAAATAAATTCAAGTATTTTATATTTACTTAGTAGCATACATAAGTAAAAAACATGTGCACTAAATTTCGTGATGGTATATCATCATACTGCTAGAATTAATTTAAAAAGTATGCCAGAGAAAATTGCCTGAAATTTGAATTGAAAATGAAAAGTATTAATTAATAATAAATAAATTAAGAAGGAAGAAGACACATTAAATGATACAAGTAACATTAAAATAAAATCAATTACTTAAGAATTAAAAGTTGAATTACTAAAATCGGCAGTATTTTAACAAATATTAAATGGATAGCATAGATGATTGATTTTATTATTATTATTATTATTTTACTGCAAAATGACAAATAAGGCTTTTAAGAAAGAAGAAAATGTTTAAAAAATTTTGTTTTATACGAGAATGGGAGGGAATTTACTTTTGTTTAACACACACAGCACATACACAAGTGAATCTCAGAATTCTCGAGGCTATTGGAAGTCAAAAGATGCTGGAAACTTGCTTTGCCTTTCTAAAAGACAACCTGATAGGCATTGCGAAACTGGTCTATGTGAACTATCCAAATGAGAATCACATGACATATGATTCAGTAAAAAAGTGATCGCCGTATGAAATTCTGACTTTTCTAAATTTAGACTAAAATATTTAAATTTTCTGACCTTTTTTGGTCAATTTTCGAATTCTCAGACTTTTCCTGGTTTTCCAGATAGTGTGGGAACCCAGTTTTCAAAGACTGGTTCTTTATCTACTTCACTGTCTTACAAAAAGCTTATATAAAGCTTACTGCTTATTAAACTCACTGGTTAATACACTCAGCTGCTCACTGCATTCAAATTTCCAGGAACCAAAATGAGTACATACTAAGCAAAAGAAAGCTTGTCAGTTATTAAACTTATCTTTGACACTTATAAAACTCAAAATGGTAAAAGTCCAGTTATTCAGATCTGGAATAAAGTGTTTGTAGCTGATAAAGGTATCTGTAGTTCATTCATTGATCTTTCAGTTCTATACTGCTTCAATAAAATGGATTTAGCAGAAATTTTTACCAGTGTAGTTAGAACCAAGACTGACTTACTGGGGTAGAAAGTTGAGGACCCTCTTGAGGTTTTGGAAACAAGTTCTTTGATTATAAACAAATGAGTATTTTCCAGGATTAAAAAATAGGTGATGCTTCAGTGAACACTGGTTTACTTTCTCGAACACCAGCTGATAGGCGATAGATGTGTATACACAAATTTTGTGTGCAAGGTATTCTTAGAAAACATTATAAAATGCTTCCTTATGTTATTATATATTATCAGTTTTTCATTGGGAAAAGGGAGTGATCACTGTAGGCTAGAGAAAAAGAAAAGAAAGCTTTTATTATGCTTGGAATAACCATGAAGTGTTACGCTGATGTGACAGACAAAGCTGCAATCTCTCTGCTAGCAAGAAATGGTAATTTTGGATTTGAACAAATCACTGGACAAAACAATTTTTATTTAACATGCATACTTGCCAACCTATGACACTCAAAAATCAGGAGATTTTTTTAAGAAATCAGGAGATTTTTCACAATGTTAAAAAGACTTTTTAAATGATAAAAATATGGTTTTTAATAATGAATTAACTTTAATAGTAACTAATTCTTAAATGCAAGCAACACAAAAATACCTTACACATAAAAAAAACATTTTTATTTATTACTTGCATCGTTTACGGAAATAAAAAAAAAAAGGAGGGAATTTTAGTTTAGAAAATTAGGAAGTTTCTTTCTTAAAGAACTAATTTTGTTCACTGCAATTGACACGTAGGCCTGCTTTCGCTAAGAAAAGTTTTTCTAATGTGTCATCACTAATATTAGATCTAAATTTAGTCCTCGTTTACGCAACAACATTGAAAATCCTCTCACACTCTGTACTACTATGGGGAACTGTCAAGATGGCCAACACAATTCTAGACAGTTGGCTATATTTTAAAATCCCATCAGCACCTTTCAGTTTTCCAATTAAACTCCACTGGGTGTCAATCCTAGCTGATTTTATAACTTCATTCAAGTTTTCTAATTGTAAACTGCTGTTATGCAGCTGTTGGAACTGTTTCAATTTTTCCTTCCTTTTAGAACTCCTTTCAAAATAATAATAAATATCAACAATGTGTTCATCCACATTTATTGGTAAAGAAGCTGCCCCTTTTTCAGCTGCTAAATTTAAGAAGTGACAGGTGCACCTCATAATCTGCAAATCTGAATTTTCCTTTCTTAAGATGCCTGCAACACCAGTCTTCAAGGCCTACCAATACTGGTGCATTATCTGCACCAAGTGCTAAGCAATTATCCAGAGGGCCTGCATTTTCTTTTAAAGTTTAATAATTAGCTGTGGTAAATTAAAGCCTGTCAAATGTCCTTCTAAAATGGGGACAGAAAGTAAACTGCACTCAATTTCTGAAGAATCTGTATTAAAAAAAGAAACAATTGGATACAGTTTTGAATCGGTATTATTGCTTCTATCTGTAGAGAGGCAGAACGGAGCTGTTTTGTGCAATCGATAACTGAAGATTTATTTTTCAAACTCATTTCTTTAACAATTGCACCTATTTTGGTTCTTGCACTTGAGTATTTCTTAGCAATTTCACTATCGGGAAACATTTTTCTAAATAAACCTGCAGCGTGATCCGATGCATTCAGTGGCAGGTTGTGCTCCAGTAAAAAAGCAGAGAACAGACATTCTGCATTAATAACTTTTTGGTCCTTTGTTTCCGAAGAAAAATTTAATTTTTCGTTTTTTTAAAAAACAACTCATGTTATCCTTTGTGTTTTTGTGTTCGCACATGTTTGAGAACATCCACCCTACCACATTGCGAATTCGAAAAATCACAACGACAGGCGGTGCACATCGCAAATTTATTACATTTCCTTGAGGAAATAATGGAAGGAAAGTCAACTGTGTACGATTTTTGAAACGTACACGAGTATTTCATTCTCGCAGACATAACAAAAGATGATAATTTCTAAAACTATTTCCCGAAGGCACGTGCACTCACACAACTCAGCACAAATTGAACGAAATAACTAAAGAACATCCAAATAACAGCTTGCCTTGTCCTCATTGGCTAATATATGCCAGCTGACACGCAGTGGAGTTCGACGCCCATTGGAGAACTGGAGAACGACGTTTCTGGGATACGTATAATGTTCTCACTCACAAAGCATAAGTTATCTGATTCGTAAGGTTTTGTTTTAGATATAATCTAGAGAAAATTCAATTGCTTTCAGACGTCCAAAATCACTTTTATTCATATAACAAAGTATTAAGCCAAGTTCCATAAAAATCGTGAGAAATTTTAAGAATAAGAAAAAGTCGGGAGAAATATATTGTAAATCGGGTTGGCGGGAGATCGGTCGAAAGTCGGGAGTCTCCCGCCTAAATCGGGAGAGTTGGCAACTCTGAACATGTAACATGTCGAAAATGCCTAAACAAAATGATTTAAGCCTGAAAGATAAGGATAAATTGCTGAAAGATTATGATACATTCAAATGCAGTCAAATTGAAGGCAATTTTAAAATTGGGATTTCCCCAAATAATATTATGCAATTTACTTAAAAACAGAAATAAAATTGATAAAGAATTAGTAAAAAATGCAAATGTGTCAAGAAAGTGCAAAAGGGGAAAATCAAAAGGCACTGAAACAGCTATTCTAGAATGGTTTATGATAAGAGAAAGATGATAAGAAATATATGATAAGAAATATTTTTAATTTTTAGAGCTCTTTTGATTACAAATGTTATAGAACTAGATAAAATGCTAGGAGAAAATTTTGTGCCAACTGATGAATGGCCCACAAGATAGAAAGAACATTATTTATCAGAACCTAAATGGTGAGAAGGCAAGGGGCAAATCTTTACCAGAGTTTCTAACAGAATACAAGTCCCACAAAATTTATAAAACAAAGGAAATTGGTCTGTTTTATGAAGCATTACCTGAGTACATATTAATGTTTAAATATAAAACAGCAGCTTGTTTTATGAAATTTAAAAAAAAATGTTACTTTGTTATTAACATGTAATATGGATGCAAAAATTTAAAAAAAACACCAGTGGTTACTTCAAAGAGTAGAAAACCTTGATGCTTACATGGAGTCACGAATTTACCTTTAACTTGCCATTAATAACAAGAACTCCTGGATTACATGCAGCATTTTTACCCATTTCCTTTTGAAATGGGACAGAGAACTGAACAATGAAAAAATAACTTTAATGTTAGAAAACTGTGCTGCACACACTTCTAATATCATTATGAAAAAACATTAAATTAGTGGTTCTTTCTATACATATCACTTCTATGATTCTGCCATTACACCACGATATTATAAAAGCTTTCAAATGTACTTACAGAAAAGGTGTTGTTCAAATACTGAAATTGAAGATAAATGAAATTGAATCTTGTGAAAATGTAAGCACTTTTAAGCCAATACCTTTGACAGAGGTTATGCATATCACAGCTAATACATGAAAAGCAGTGTCCCAAAATACAGTTAGAAATTGCTTTATAAAATGTGGTTTTTATTTAGAAGAAGCCACAGAGAAACTGCAAACTTTTTCTAATATTTCGTATATCAGTGAGAGAAATTACAAAGATTCGTTTCTGGAAAACTTCTCAATTGATGATACTATTGACAGGGTTGCCACTCAAACAGGAGAATGAAATTCCCCAACTTTTCAGGTTTTCCAGGTGTGTTTCAAGAAAATTCCAGTCTATCCGCGTAATGCACATTGGCTGTGCTACGAGGTAAATTAATTATGGTATTACTTGAAAACAAAAAAATTTGCCAATTACATATGACTTGCATACCCCAAAGCATTACTATTATGATTATAATAGTTGTTTTCTCCACTGAAGACTGAGATTATTATCTGCCCAATCTAGAATAAAAGAAGGCTTTTTTTGCAGACATTTTGCAGCTAAACGAAAGAAAGAAATCTATTTAATGATATTTTTAAAATAAATTCAGGCATTTTTATATTTATTTCGCAGCAAACATAAGAAAAAAATATTTGCATTAAATTTCGTGATGGTATGTCATCAAACTGCTAGATTTAATTTCCGGATTATGCCAGAGAAAATTTCCTGAAATTTTGAAGTAATATTAAAATAAGTAAATTTAGAGGGAAGGAGCAACATTAAATGATATGAATAACATAAAAATAAACATAATTGCTTAAACATTTAAGAAAATTTAATTTGAAAATTAACGATATTTTAGCGAATATAGTTATATTACATGGTTAGCCTAGATGACTGATTACTGTTTTTTTATTTTACTGCAAAATGACAAATAAGGCATAAAAAAAAAAGGTTTAAAAGATTTTGCGGTAAAATCCTAATATACGCTAAGGTCTTGGGCACGATTTTGAAAATTGTCACTACACCAAAATGACTCGTTTACTGCTTATCATAATGTCGCCAAATCCCATGTATATCGTATATGGAGGCAAGGAGGTTAGAATAGAATATATGGAGGCTATTCTAACCAAAGAACATCTATGTAAAGAAGAAAAGGTTTAATAGACATAATGCTATTACGACACTAGAAAGCGGAAGGAAAATTTGCCAAGGGATTTGGCGACAGAACCTGGCTGCCAGAATTTCCCTCTCCACGATATGTACAGGAATGAGGAACATGTATTAAGAAGAAACGTTCTTTGACAAAACGTTTCTTTGATTTTTCGCAATAATTTAAAAACGGATTTTCATAGTTTTTTTTTTTAATCCATTAATTAATTTACTTGAGCAAAAATACATTTTCTTTTCCTTTTAAAGTTTAAAGAAATTTTAAACGATATTCATTTTATGGACTCTTGATAACACGACCTTTGAATTTCAACATCGGCTTTGAGCTTTGGCGACAAATATTTCGCGCATGCGCGGCTGTTTCCTTCTAAGTTGGAATGGAGCCACGCCTGTTGAAGAGAGGTTTTCCTTCTTTACAATACATATTCTTTTATTCTAACCTCCATAGTACCGTACACTAAGATTAAACCCATTTTTTTTTTTTTTTTTTATGTATGAGAATAAGTATTTTCTTTAGTTCAACATGCACTGCACGTGCATGATTCTCTCTATTCTCGAGGTTACTGGAAACTTGCTTTGAAAAAGACAATCTAATTGGAGCTGCGAAAATTGGCTCTATACCAGCTGCCCGAATAACGCTCACGAGATACACAATTTGCCGAGAAAGTGATTGCTTCCAATGTGTGCGGAAAACTCACTTTTTTGGGGTGGATCGCTGTATGAAATTCCCCGACTTTTCCAGATTTTGACTAAAATATTTAAATTACCTGACTTTTCCCTGAATTTTTTAGGTCAATTTTCGAATTCCTCAACTTTTTCCGGTTTTCCAGGCAGCATGGCAACCCTGTATTGAGATAGCACATAAAAATACTAGAAAATTATAGAAAGTGTTAAAAAGCTACAGAAACAGAAATTGACAGTAAAAGTAATACAAAAGAAAGTGACTACATGCCAATCTCAACTGAATCGAGAAAAGCACTGCAATCTCTAAGAGCTCTTGAATTGAAAGGTGGAGATCAGAAAAGCTACCAACAGTTTTACAAACTTGAAAATACAACTGAAAGATGTTGGCGAACAATGCAAAACAAATATGGATACAGCAGTTCTCTCTAAAATTTGTAATTATAATTTTTTTAAATAAATAAATAATAAATTTCCATGTTTCACAAACAGTTGAATTTTGGCATTATTTTTTTTTTCATTTAGGTATTAATTATTAGATCAATTATTAGTTACTAACTTTCTAAAATTCAAAGTTGATACCATAATTTGGAAAAATGAATTCACAATTTGTTAAACCCAGCTGATTAATAAACTCAAACGTGCTTTTTAAAGTAATTTTAATAAATGGCGGGTACTATACTTGTTTCTTTTTATCTCATAAGATAAACTTTTTGCATCTGAAACAGGCTTTAGAAATGTTTTTCCCCTCCTTTCGCCAGCCATTCAAGAGCTATTTAGAAGCCCTCTCATAGTCTCTTTACCCAGGAGAAAAATTTCTTCTGCGTTCTCCAATCTCTTATTTGAAAATTAGCAAAGATTATTCCCCTAAAGGCACACTTTCAAATGAGCAGTAGTTCCATTGCAATACTGTAAAAAATTGCCAAACTGCGCCAAAGTAGTTGTGTTAATACGTTAAGTGCCAAAATACTCGCAGCACAGTTATAGTTTAGTCTATAAAATATGTATTTAATCATTACATATTCAATTAAATATACCTCATTTCCTTTACATAGCTTTTCTAATATATCTGCAACAGCTTGAGCATCATCAATAAAGATAAGACACTGCAAGGAAAAAGGTGCAACTTTTGATTGGGAAATAAATCAAATGAAATTAAAAAACATCATTGAAAATTCATGCAGTAGACCTACCTACCTGGCACATATTTACATAATCAGGAGTTTCTAAATTTTTATACAGATTCACTAATGTCTGCAAAACTTGATTTCGGAACATCCTGTTTTGTATTAATGACATGGTCACTTTAAAACTGTATGACAGCATACCAACCACATCATCCTGAAACAAGAATAATGGCAAAAAATATCAACCACCCAACATTCAAAATTTTCTAATGTCAAACAAGAGGAAAAAAAACTGTTAAAAATCATTTAAAAAATATATTAAAATATCAAGTAATATTACTTGAAAGTCAGTGCTGCAACATTCAATTCTCTATGATCATCTAATTATTACAAAACAGACTCAGCATTCATTAGTGTAAATTTTCATAGCTTGTACAAAATTTAGTTTAAAATTTAACACATAAATGAAAAGCCTATTTTAGTGAGGGGAGGAAAGATTTATTCTGAATATATTTTAATTGTGACGAAAAAATTAATCCATGTGCAATAAATTATAACAATACACAGAAAATCCAGTTAGTGACTTTGGATACACTGTAGCATAAAAGACCCTAATTAAGCCTAAGGCAGAATTCTGTGTTCATTATAATTGTTTTATGGTAGGTTTGTCAATTAAATATATTAAATTAATTTACTAGTCTATATTCTGGGGAAAAAAATGCCTTACCATACTAAAAAAGACATTCAAATTGTGTTCTTTATGCTCAAATATAATAATAACAATGAAATAAATATCCAACTAAGGTGGTTACCAAGTTCCAATGTCGAAAATTATATACTTAGTGACAAAAGGTATGTATTCAGTGGTATAATGCTGTATCGGATTACTTATAATACTTAGAGGCATTTTCCTGTGATATGTACTTAGTATATAATTAACATATAGCTGTGATATGTACTTAGTATATAATTAACATATAGTTAGTTCACAAGTAAATCTATACTTATTTTAATTTAAATTAACTTATTTTACTACTACTAGCTCACAGGCACTAGTTAATCCCAGCTATTATATTTTGGGTTGCAATTCATTTATTGTTTGAAAATAAACAACCTGTTCAATGAAATATATTTCCTGTTACTATGAAAGAGAAACTTTTATTACCCTATAAAAATAAATATAACAATTTAAATATTATGCATAATTTAAGAGAAAAATTGACATTATTTCATAAATTTAAATTGATACTTCTTCTATTTTATCAATTATATGAATCATTTAATGATGTTACCATAGCAGAAAGTAATCTTTCAGATTTTAACAAAAATTTTGTTTCATCAATGTAATGTTTTTAGTGTAATTACTTACTATGAATACAGTAAGATGAATTACAGGTAAAGCGAAAGTAGTAATCTTAACGAAGGAATCATGATATTAATTTGTTTTCAGTAAGGCATTATTTTTATTCTTAATAAATCATTATTTTAATTTCACATAAATTATTTATGTATGATGATTATGAGCTTTTAAATGTGAATTTGATACACGTAAGAGACTTATTTTGATAAGTCTGAACAGATTATTATTTTGATTTAGTATAAAATATTATTTGTGCCATGTAGTTATGATTTGGAATTATTTAGAATAAATCTTAAATATTTTAAAGCGTTTAAGAATTGTAAAATAATAGTATTTAAATACTACAGTACATATAATGCAAAGCAATATTCAATACTGTACAGATAAAATACAAAATAAGTATTGATTCAACACTACTTTGATGTAATTTTACTTTTTAGATTTAAACGTATAACACATTTAAACTGAATATTTTCACTTGGTTGGTTTAGTAAACACTTAAAAAATGTTACACACACACACATATATATGTATGTATGTAATAAAAATAAAGAATATGTAAAAGATTAAATTAGCAGCTTAAATTCTCTTCCATATTCTAAAAATAGTAACCTCTATTTGCACTGTGTCATTTTGAGATTAATCTATGTCATATGGCTCTTAGATAATTCTGATGATGTAAATGGAACTAAAACTCAAACAGCCAATAGTAATTTTACAGCAGTATTAAATATCCAATCAAATGCATTGAGAACCAAAACTAAGTCTGAATTAAGATTTCACCCTGAACATAACGCACTTGCATTCAATAATTTGGTCTACCTCTTCTTTCTTATTGCAAATTTATCTAAAATGTAAATTTTTTGGAATAGGCACAATTAATGTGACAACATGATTGTGGCCGCAACATGTTTACTGAAATAAAAGTTGAATTAAATATACCTTGATTGCCAAATTTTTTATTCATTGTGGATTGGCATTTCAGCATTATATGACATCGAAATTTGTTCATTATGGATTCAACCATGTGCTTTCTAATACAGAATCTATTACATATATATTGTTTTAAAGAAAATACGCCATGTATAATATTATGAAGAAGGTGCAAACATACTATATTTTTTCAAAACAAATTAGTTGCTTTTTAATGTGATTTGGGATTATATTTAGAATAATAAATTTTATTTCTAACATAAAGTTTTAAAACCACAAAGGAAATATTTCTCACTAAATGAAGTGCTGATGGAAGTGGTGATAGATCTTCTGGCATATAATCTACAAGGTTAATCAGAAACGAGTTCTGAGGTGTATTTTCCAGATGATCACAAGACTGCATGAATTGACTCCAACTTTTTGCCGCTTTCCGCATCAGTTTCAGATAACTCATTTTAAATGTCTACTTTTTGCCATAGTTCTTAAATGAATATGTTTTAAGAAAAAGTCTTCTTGAGAAAAATAGGAAATAAAATGGAATAATCAATTAAAAAAAAACCTCAAATGATAATTAAAAATATACATGTTAATATAATAAACAAATTTAAAAAGACAATTTTGAAGTTTATTAAAAGTTACTAACCATAATTATCTACCATAAATGAGATATGATTGATAATTTTACATGATAATCTAAAGCAACAGATTATTGCAAGAAAATGATAGATTTTGAAATTCTACATTTTGAATTTTACTTAACATCTACATCAATTTAAGGTTGCTGTTATGACGTCCTGTTCTCTCAAGCATAATGCATTGGTCTCCATGATTAAAAATTGTTGTTTTAAGCCCAACAATGGGTGGTGTGTAATGGATTTACTATTTTTAAAAAATTATTTACAGAAAAATTTATTGCTAGCTTCAGAGCAATAGAGATATTTATTCAGTTTACTGAAGATGAAGATTAAAAATTAAAACCAATTTTTTCACTGATGACCCCCTACCACTAAGGTAACAAGCTGAGAATGAAATTCAACGGATATTATGTATGTTGAGGCTTGTTTCTTTTCTCCTTTAAACTGTGCGAATTAATGAAATTTTTACCTACTGCAACCTTTTTTTTTTTTTTCTTCGGCACAAGGAATTTACATTTATTTTTTAAAGACTACAAACATGATTTTTGCCTTCTATTACTTTGTGCATTATCTTTCCTGTAACAGTGAATCTTTGGCCCAATTACAAGATGATCCATGTAAAAGCTTTTTCGTCTGATGCCAGACTAGTAAAAAATATATTAGTATAAGGTTGCCTACTAGCAAATCATTCATTTAAAAAATTAGAAAAATTATTACTTATATAAAAAGGATGCATATAGCACATACACCATTATACGTAGTACAGTCATGGCTGTACTACGTTATAGCACCAATGGAAGCTATATGTACTATCACAGCAAAAAACTGATAATTTACTCACAAAAGAATGCAGGATAACTCATAAGATTTGTATTTTACTCCAAAGTTGAATTGGCTCTATTTTCTCAATTCTAAAATTAAAGTGATAATTTTTGCTTCTTTCAAAGACTTTTAAACCTAAAAAACTTTGTTCTGTAAACCTCAATATATATAACTTGCTGCAAGCCTCAGTATCAACTAAACTTAAAACAAGAACTAACAGCAACATATGTTTAAAAAAAAAAAAAAAAAAATCAGGAATTTTTATATCAAAATTCAGAATAAAAAATAGTATGATGAAATTTAATAATTTCACAAAAGCTGGCTTTAAATATCATATCTTTGTTGTAGGTGTAAATTACACCACACCTTCCATGAGCAAAAAAATTAAATTTGAGAATAAAATAATCTTAGTTATTAAGCCATTCCTTCTTGCTCCTATGAAAATTAGTGGGTGAGGTTTTGCATTCTATTTCTCATGCCTGTGACATTTCTGGGATGGAATGATCAAAAGAAATACACCAAATAAATTAAAAACAATCTATTTATTACATGGAGAATTTTTTTTAAATTTTATTTTTTACTTTACCTACCAGATGGCAGTACCCTTGATTTCAAGTTCCAAAAATTAAAAATGAATACATAAATTGCTCATACACTTATTTTTAAACAATTTTCTTGAACCAAAAAAAGGGAAGGGGCACTTTTTTTTTCATTTTTTATTTTTGTTGAAAAGTATGCAACCGTTAAGGGGTTATATGTACATTTGAGATAACCCATACTTAGTCTATCCAATTTTAAATGTAATTTTAAGGTTAAACAAATACTTGGAAACATGATGTACAAACTTACTGACTGCATAACTGCTGCTTCAAAAATATCCATGCGTCGTGTTTCCAAAGCGATACCAACAGCTTGTTTGTACTGACCATCTTGAAAACATCTTTGAAACATACGATTTACAATTGCCTCTAAACGATTATCAATCACCTGTTGTTCTGTACTCTCAGCATTATGAACACGCAGCTTTGTATATTGATCAATACATTTAGCTAAAAAAAAAAAAAAAAAATTTTTAAAATTAACACTGAAGTGCTATATTGTATAATAATTCTATTCAGTACAATTAACATACATCAAAATAAACTAGCACAAAATATACATTTTAAAATAAATTTAATTTATATGACAGATTTTACATCATTATTACAGTGACAACATAAAACAATACTTTACGGTACAGCTTCTATTTTAATTCCTAGTCCTCAAAGATATCATTCTTTCCCTAAAAAAATCATTGATTCAATTCATAAAAATGTATGAGGTTGCATTTTCTTCTCATAACATCTAAATTGCATTTTCACTTTTCAGATTTTATTTGTTAATTCACTCTTCCCATTATAAACTTAAAAGTTTGTCCCTAATTGTGCTCTTATTTATTTAGTACTTAAAAGATATCATACTGATGTCAAAATTAAAAAGATTTGAACAAAACAAAAAATATAGTCATATCAGATTTAATTTGTTTAAATATAATACAGAGCAATAATATTTGGTGCCAACAATTTGAAAAGTGATACGGGCATTTATGGTATCACAAAATGCCGTTTTGAGACTAATAACCAGTTGGAACTAACTCCCCTTTGGGCTCAAGATAAGTCTAAACTTAATACATAATTTGATAAAATTCTGTATAGTCATTTCTTCATATCTGCTCATAAATATGATTTCAGTATTCATGATATCAATTTCTATTTGTGCCTAAAAATTCTTTTGAAAATTAAACAATATGTAATTTGTAAGGTAGACAAGGTGCACCAAGTAGTGCTTTCTCATGATAATCCTGGCTGATATCCATATGGTATTTACAATGCCAATGAAAATTAATGAATATTACAAAAACAAAATTTTTGCTCACTGAAAAAGATTAAAAACAATTTGAACAAATGCGTCATTAAAGCATTACATAAATTACTATGTTTATCAATAGAATAATCTTGAAATACTGAACTTAAAGTCAAATTTATGAAAATTTAAAAACAATTAAAACAATGATTTCCTTATTTTGCAACAAATTATTTGGTACTATCGCATTATCCGCCTAACTCTGATAAGAATCACAAATTCTATGACACCAAAGCAAAGAACCCAGAATTTTATGAAAGTCTACTCATCTGGCAACCCAATAGTTGCATGTGCATTATGCCAGCATATAATGCAACCATACATCTTGATAGTGGTGATAATGCATACAGTTTTGAAACTTGGAACATGTTTGTCGTTTCTGTGTATTGCGATTACTGCGTGGAGTTGCTTTTTCTTGTATGAATCGTAATGCCAGTGGAGTTTGCTTGCTAATGAAAGAGAGTCTTGCTATTTTTTAGAAATATGTCATTTCGTCTAGTAGTAGAGAGTGTGGAAATGCACAATCCATGAACATAATTTGTGCAGTTCTCATTTTTTTAATAAGTAAATTGTATATGGGCAGCACTGCCAAGTTCTTCACTAATACCGAAGTACTGTATCCTGTACACATGGATAGAAGACTTCGAAAAAAAAAGGAAGTGTTTTATTATGGATATCTGCTGCAGTTTTAATTTGCACTCATGTCCATAAATTAAGGATAATTTGGAGTCACGCGGAAATCGAACTCTAAAATAAATATATCACCTGTAAAATCACTACACGCATCTTCAAGAATCATATGCAAATTTCAAGAAGTAACCAGTTGACACAGATGGTACGTCACAATCACAAGAGTGTAAGACAGTGATATATAAGGAATACAGGCAAAGAAGTAAAATTGTTCGCAGGCGCTTTATAAGCATTTCAGTGCAATAACCGGAAGGCATTTGGATGATTTTTTATAGAATATCGGCGTCTGGAATGTGGGCGTACCCAACTGGAATCAGACAACTTGGAATTGCAGAGTGTCATCACTTTCCGATTCCAGATGTAATGTGAGTAGACGTTACAGCACAGGTCGCCCCAGAGTTACAGCGCCGAATAAGGACCGGTATTTGGCAGTTACTGCCAAAACAAACAGGTGGAGCACAGCCTGAGACCTGCCTCGTCAGCTCTCTTCAGCCACTGGTACGACAATTTCAAGGCAGACCGTGTACAGACGCTTAGGGCAGATTGGTTTATATGTTCGTAGACCTGTCAGATGCGTTCCACTTACTGCAACTCACTGTCGCCTGCGGTTAGCCTGGAGTAGAGAGCATGCACTGTGGACACCGCAACAGTGGGCTTGTGTGATGTTTTCCGACGAGTCCAGGTTTAGCTTGCAGTCTGATTCTCGCCGGACTTTCATATGGAGAGCTCCAGGTATTCGTTACCACCAAGAAAGCATCATTGAACGACACCGTTACGGTGGTGTAGGAGTGCTCGTTTGGGGTGGAATTATTCTGGGTTCCAGAACTGACCTTCATGTTCAAATTGGAATCATGACAAGCCATATCTATCGGGACGTCATTCTGGAACAACATGTACATTTGTTTCGGGGTGCCATGGGCACACAATTTGTTTATGGATGACAACGCCAGTCCTCACCGTGCAAATATCGTAAGCGAATGCCTTCAATCGGAGGATATCACCCGTACAGACTGGCCAGCATTCTCACCAGACTTGAACCAGTAGAACACGTGTGGGACATGCTTGGCCGACGAGTTGCAGCCCGTCAACCTCCTTCTACATGTCTACCGGAACTTCGGAGTGCATTGCTTTTTGAGTGATGTAATATCCCCCAAGATCAGATCGATAATTTGATACTCAGATGCCTAGGCGTTGTACGGACTGTATTGCATCGTCTGGGAGACATACAATGTATTAACAATCAAACCAACCATGTAATATTGGTTTTTTGTAAATAAGTTTTTTTTTTTTTTTTTTTTTTTTTTTGGTAATTTGCTCCAGGGAGAAAAAAAATCGCTAATTTTTTTAATAATATCAAACATATAGCATCTGTTTTTGCTCTTTACCTTTTGTTTAATAAATAAGCTTTACAAATAAGTCAAATTTGTTTTGCTTCTAACTCTTCCTTTGCCTGATTTTGCATTATCCTTAATTTATGGACATGAGTGTAGTTAATTTGTTTCTGTTTAATGTAATTTTCCTAAATTTTATGTAAAGTTTCGTTATGGACGTTTGCTATATGTCAGTTTTAGTGTTTCTTTATGCGTGTTATTTAAGTTTCTAATTTCATTAATTTGTTGCTATTTCATGAAATTTTGAGCGCACTGCAATTTTTTAAATGGCTACTCTTTTTCACATGTTAGGCTTCCGAAAAACTAATCACTAATGACAAGTGGTTTTGCAGAAGAGCTGGGTGGATAATACGAGAGTAACCTTTCTTTAATGTGGTATATGGTCACCTCTAACAGGAATGCCAATCTCATATCTTGATTTTATAGAAATCACAAATTTTGTTATCAAATCTTTTGGATAACATATCAACACACTGGGAAGTGTATGGATCTCAGGGGATCCAGGTAGGCATTTGGCATTCTGTAATTCATCTATCTAAGGCATCAGGTTCAAGCTGGTTGCTATAAGTTGGTCAATCATTCAAGCGGTATCTTTTATTTCCAAATACCCCGACACTAGAAATGCTTTGTGTAGATCAGCACTGCCACCTACCAGTTTAGAAATCTGTACCAATATCATCCTTAAATTCTCTTACAAAACTTTCCAAGACCTCATTCTACATATCTGTGACTGGTTACAGATTCCCATCAAAAATATGCAGCTCCATATGATCATTTATGATGATTCTACTATAAGCCATAAAACAGTTTTCAAAAGATGGTCTTTCATTAACAAAGGAAGACAAATTGCATGTTCTTCACTTCCTCCAGATCAAAACACATATTGAATCACAGCTCAGACTATATCTATACTCATCAGTAAACAATGCAAGGTCCCATTCTTCTTAGCTCCACTGAACAATGATGACACCAATAGAATATGATGAAATGATGATGATGAACTGAAAATTATGACGACACCAACTTAAATGGATTCCTTCAGAAGATGAAAGGAATAGAAAACAAACTTTTTCCCCCTACATAAAGCCCCATCTTATGAAGCCTTTCTGATTAGTTGATTTCTAATGGTTTATATAAATGAGAAAAATGCAATGGTATTCTTTCATAATTTTTTTTTTTTTTTTTTACTTTGAACAGAATATACAGAAATTATCATGTAAGGAGCTTATTGGGGCTTCACAAAATGTGAAAATAAAAAGCAATGAGGGATGGTTCACCATCAATTTGAGTAATACCTAATAAACTTTTTATGGCAGTCTGTTCACAACCTTGAAGCTATAAGGCCACCAGGAAATATATTCAAAAAATATATCCAAATAAAAAGATGCATGCAGGAATTGAATCTACTTTTATTATATTTTAATTCTATGCATAATGTTTTTTATTATTTATGCATGTGTTCTGCTTAGCAGAATTTCCGACCCCCTTTACAGCATTCATTTTGCCCTCGGTGATATTTTTTCACAATGACCACAAAACATTCAAATAACACCTGGATTTTTTTAGACACATTTTGAGTAATAATTAAATGTTCACTCAACAAGTTATAAATTACTAACATTAACATCACTAAGGTCCATAATTTTCTGACTTTTATATTCAAAGCGAAACCAGATATGGTTGTGTTCCAAAATATGCAATTTAATCATAGACATCATTTCAATAATCAAATTCTTATTCAGAGTGAAAAAATATGTAAAAAGTGTCAAATCAGGTACCAAACAAATACAGAACATAAAAATATGTAATATTCTAAAGATTCTAAAGATTCTAATTCATTTGACATTAATCACTATTGAGAGAACTAGTTAGCTGATGAAATTTTAAAAGAAATATTGAATTTTAACCAATATCTAAAATGACAATCACTTTCTGCGATATAAGAACTTTTGTAATAACTTCATTAGTCTCTAATTAATAAAAAGTTCTTAATTATTAACAATTAATAATGAAAATCTTGATATTACTTGAAGAAATAATATAGTGCTTCAACATATTCTTTCACAGTCAAGTTTTTAGTATTTTTAATTTAAATAAATAAATAAAATGTTTTTCAATAAGATTAAAAAACAAAGCTTGAAAAAACAGTTAATTTGTTAGATGCTGTCAGCACTTTTACAATAAATATTCCCACTTTTCCAGCAGAGCAAAAGGATTGTTATATAAAGTTATGTTTGTTCTCACTCAGAAAGTTTTAAGTTTTGGACAGCAGTTTTGGACATCATTTCTGCAAATGAAATGATTTGGCATAGAGTTGCTAAGATTTTATTACATTCTCTGATAAATAAATTAAATCAGAAAAGTAAATTAAATCCTACTTGAGTAAAAAGCATAGCATAAAGTTGCTGGCATAATAATTATAGGCTGTCTTATTTAAATTAAAAACTTACTTCATTATGATAGTAACTTTATTCCAAAATAAATAAATAGCCTTAAAAAATGTCCAGAGAGGAACTATTACAAAGGCATCTCTTGAAGAAGTTTATTTGCCATGACCTGTTAAGCATCTTAAATGATTTTTGAATTCTAGTATATACATAACACTTTCAACATTATCTCTATCATTAGTATTACTACATCAATATAATCACAAATTCCCACCATTAGTACTCTGACAAAATTTTTTCAGTTACTTCAAATATTACGTGCTTTCATAGCGACAGTAAAACTAAAATACAGCATTACATATATTCTATGACCGTCAGTAACCACATTGTTTACTCCTACAAACTGCATGCATAAGCTTGGATTTATTTAGTAGTACTTTAAACTATACTGTAGCTCTGTGATATCAACGTATTTTGCCACAGATAACAACTGAAAGGGAAGTAATAATTAAGTGTATTAATATTTATATAATTAAGTGTATTAATATGCACAATGTAGTGATACTACAATGTAGTGATACTACATTGCAAAATAACAGATTGTTTTACTAATAAGAAATTCTAATAGATAATAATATGCATATGAATGAATTATGAAGATGGGACAAACTTTTCCTTCCATTGTTGCCTTATCTAACCTTTCAACACAGATCCCAATTTTGCCATACATGACACTTTACAAATAACAGACTTATAGTATAATAGTAATTAAATATGACAAAAGAAACTGAATTCTACTACAAGCTACTATAAAATGTAAAGGTGAAAATAATTTTTAAAAATATTTTATAGAGAGAATTAACTTACAAATAATTGTCTCAACATATTCAGAAGAATGATTAACATCAAATAAATCACCAGCACCTAAAGCATAAAACACAGAATCTTCAAATGATCCAAGATGATAGTATACCTAAAAAAGAAACACTTAATTTAAAAAAGTACATTTTCCAGTCCCTGATAAACAAAACAAACAAAAAAAAAAAAAAACTCCTTTGTGCAAAAATATTTCAAGAGATGATTATAGCAAAACTATATTCCACAGCCTTAAAATTGATGAACTATACGTGATTACCTTAAAACTGATAAACATATATAATTAGAATCTCAGTTTGTCATAACAGAATTACCATTAGGCATTCTAAAACATTTATTTTCTTTTCATACACCTTTTTTTTAAAAAAAGGATATTACAGATACCATTGAATACTTTTAAATAAAACTTAATATAATTACAATTTTAATTTTACTGTTGTATCATAAATTATAATACGACGTTTAGCTTAAGAGAGCTTCTCCTGACGCATGCGCCGTTCGCGTTTATCCGCGCGGTGATGAATGATGACGTAACTGTTTATTACGTATGTATGTATATGTATACCATTCTTACTTCTTCCCCCTTTTTCTCTGCTGTATGCAACTATGTTTAAGTTAATCTCTGTCATTAAAAATGTTCATTGATATTACAATCTATTTAGGCTCATTTATTTCTTCAATGGTTATGGGCCCAGGAACGTTTCAACTGTGCCTAATTAGAAAAATACTTATTTTAAAATGAACATTTTGAAGTTTTCGAGCATTGAACTCTTAAGCCTAATTCAGTGCAAGAACTGTTACGTCTAATCAACGGTAAGAACTGATCAGCGTTCAGTTAAGCCTATTTTTTATAGCGCTCAATCTTGTTTATTTTTGGCTGTGAGAGACTGTATTACATTATGTCGCATTTGACTACTATAGAAAAGCTCGGAAAAGATAATTTTGACAGTTGGAAATTACAAATAGAAGCAGTATTGATTAAAAACGACCATTGGGATTATGTGACCAGGTAAAGAGCTAAAACCTGCTGAAGGAACCGAAGGACGAAAAGAAATGGCTCCAAGCTGATCAAAAAGCTCGCGCAGATATAATTCTTGCTATTAATCCTAGTGAATTCTGTGTCATATAAAGCATTGTGTGGACATCAAATGCTGTGTGGAATAAACTCAAAGCCGTATATGAATCGAAAGGACCTGCGAACAAGAAGGCTACATTGTTAAAACAGCTTTTATTTAGAAAAATGGCGGAAAACGCGAAACGATGTCTGAACATTTGAATAATTTCTTCGAAATAGTTGATAAGCTTAAACAAATGGAAATTTGACCATAGCTGATGATTTATTATCGATTCTTCTGCTCTATAGTATTCCAAGAAAATTTTGAAAATTTTAGATGCGCCATTGAATCAAGAGATCAGTTTACCTAGTCCCGAATCTTTGAAAATCAAAATGCTTAGAAGAATGGGAAGCAAGAAAAGGGAAAACGTCTCAAGATTCACAGAATGCATACTATACTGATTATAAAAGAAGAAATCAAGAACAGAAGAAAAATGAAAAATGGAAGGTAAATTCAAACAAAAATTTTCCAGCTGAAAGAAATTTTCGAAACTTGAAGTGTAATTACTGCTCGAAAATTGGGCACAAGGCATCTGAATGCAGAAAGAAAATAGCTGATAGAAAATATGCGCAATCAAATAAGGGAAATCAAGGTTCTATGATGGCTTCTAATTATGAAGAGCAGATTAGTTTAGCAGTAAACAATGCTTATCAGAAGACCTCCTCATGGTGCTTAGATAGTGGCTGTACATCTCACATGTGCAATGACAGAAGGTTATTTTCAGAATTTCACCCTCGAACGAATTCAACCATAAAGTTAGCAGTTGACAAAACATAAAAAATTACAGGAATTGGAACTGTCCTTATCACAGTACCTAACGAAAATAAGACAATTAAATTTACACTCAGAAATGTGCTTATGTGTTCCGGAATTAAAATGTAATTTGCTGTCAACATCTAAAGCTACTGCAAATAATCGTTCAGGTGATTTTACAGAACGACATGCTAGAATAATAGAACCAAATGGATCTATACTAGTGCAGGCTATTCGTCATGGTGATCTTTATTATATACATATCCAAGCACTGAAACAGCTGCAATAGCACAGAGGTAAGTGATTTTTGTAAAGTGGCATCTTAAATTAGGTCATTTAAATGAGTCTGATTTGAAAAGACTTAAGTCTGATAACATGGTTAGAAATTTAAATTTTAATAACACTGAATCTCTAAAAGACTGCAAAGTCTGTATCCGAGGTAAACAAAACTGTGCAACCTTTTCAAAAAGAATCAAATTTCAAAGTGATGAATTACTGAACTTGATTCACTCAGATTTGTGTGAACCTATGAGAGTCCCCATCCCATGCTGGTTCGCGTTATTTTGTTTACTTTCATAGATGAACAAATCGCGTTATGTCGAAGTCAAGTCAGTTTTCTTTTAAACTAAAGATGAAGTGAAAAATGCATTCATTAAATACAAAGCTTGCGGTCGAAAATCGTCTAGAAAAGAAAAATAAAAATCCTTCGGAACTGATAACGGTCTCGAAATATCGCGGAGAAGAATTTAATAAATATATTCAAGAATGCGGGAATTAAACGAGAATTCTCTGCACCTAATGACTCCTCAACAGAATTCGAATAGCTGAAATGCATGAACCGCACTTTAACTGAAATGGCCAGATGTTTGTTACTACAAAGTAATCTTCCCCAATCCTTTTGGGCTGAAGCCTTGAACTGTGCTGTTTATATTCGTAATCGTTGCCCAATCGAAGCCTGGGAGTAAACAAAACACCTTATGAGTTATTTTTTGGCATCAAGCCAACTGTATCTCACTTCAAAGTATTCGGACAGAAATGTTTCGTACTTAATAAAAGGTCTTAAAGGGAAATTCGATCCTCGATTCAAGAAGAACATATCATTTGTTAGGATACTCAAATGAATCGAAAACATACAGGCTGTGGAATAAAAATTCCAGAAAAATCATTAATAAGCTGAGATGTTAGATTCATTGATGAATTTGAAAACTGTACTAATTATGATAAAGATTTAGAAGTTTTATTTCTCGAAAATATTCCTGATAAAAATAAGGAAGAACCTCTGAATGTAAAGCAAATATCGGCTGATGAAATAACTGAAGACCCCTCAAATATGGCAGAAGCATCTGCTGAATCATCTGATAATGAAGATTCTGATTCCGAAGCAATACCTGAATGAAATGCAGATTAAAAGGGGGGCCAGGTCGTCCAAAGACAGTCAAGACTGGGAAGCCAGGAAGACCAAAAAAGGAGTACCACAATATAAACATAGAAAAGGAAGAAGCCACAAATTGCTGAAGAAGATACAAATCCGACATTAGAAGAAGCATTAAATGGAAGTTATGCTGAAGAATGGCATAAGGCTATGCAAAGTGAGTATGAAGCACTTGTTAAAAATGGTGCATGGAAATTAGTAAAGCGACCACACAACAAAAAGGTAATAGGATGTCGCTGGGTTCTTAGAACGAAATATAATGCAGATGGAACAGTTCAAAAGAGAAAAGCTCGATTGGTTGCTAGAGGATTTGCACAGGAACCTGGAATTGATTTTAATGAAACCTTTGCTCCAGTAGCCAGAGCAAGTCTATAAGAACTGTGATTGCATACAGTGCTGAACAAGACCTTATGTTATATCAACTAGATTTTGTTATGGCTTATGTTAACGGAGATTTAAAAGAAGAAATTTTCATGGAACAAGCTAAAGGTTTTGAAGACCAAAATAATCCTGATTATGTTTATGCTTTGCAAAAGTCTCTTTATGGTTTGAAACAAAGTGGAAGACAGTGGTATGAAAAATTAGACAAAAAACTCAAAAACTTTGGATTACAACCATTACAATCAGATAGTGTGTATACAGGATGAAAAACATCTCAAGGTGAGTTAATTCTAATTTTATATGTTGATGACTTAATAATAGCAACAAATAGCTGTGATTTATATGCTGAACTTAAAGATTAACTTTCTAAAGAATTTCATGTCAAAGATTTAGGCAAACTTCATTATTGTCTTGGAATAGAATTTAATCAAGATGTAAATAATAATTCTATTAGTTTATCTCAGCAGAAATATGTTGATAATATTCTACGAAGGTTTAATATGCAAGATGCAAAACCAGTAGCAACTCCTTTAGATCCTAGTGTAAAATTAAGTAAAGAAATGTGTCCTTCTGAAACTGAAAAGGAAGAAATGAACAACGCACCTTATCGCCGTCTAATTGGTTCGCTTATGTATCTTTCTGTGTTTACTAGGCCGGATATTGCATATGCCGTCAGTCACCTGAGCCAATTTAATAACAATCCTGGAAAATTACACTGGTTGGCTGCAAAGCGCGTTCTTCGATACTTAAAAGGAACTAAAAATTATTGTTTAAAATTTCGAAAGACTGAAAAAGCACTTATTGGATATACCGATGCCGACTGGGAGTCTGATGTTAATACTAGAAAATCGTACACAGGTTACCTATTCAAGCTAGCTGGAAATCCGATAACATGGGAATCACGAAAGCAACAAACTGTTGCATTATCAAGTACTGAAGCAGAGTACATCAGTCTTTCAGAAAGTGCCAAAGAGCAGTTTATTTACGTCGTTTTCTTAAAGAATTAAATTTTACTGCTGATTATCCACCATTATATATTGTGATATCAAGGTGCACAGAAGCTTATGAAAAATGCTGTTTATCACTCACGCACTAAACACATAGATATTAGACATCATTTCATTCGTGAAATTTATGAAAGAAATGAAATAGACGTTAAATATGTGCCAACAGAGAAAATGCCTGCTGATGTACTGATAAAAACATTGACTGCTTCGAACATTCTAAGTGCTGTAAATTAATTGGAATAACTAAAATGATTAATGTTTATTTTTTTTTTAGACGCCAAAACGTCGAAAGGGGGATTGTTGTATCATAAATTATAATACGACGTTTAGCTTAAGAGAGCTTCTCCCGACACATGCGCCGTTCGCGTTTATCCGCGCGGTGATGAATGATGACGTAACTGTTTATTAC